CGGCACAAGATGGCGGTGTACCTTCTTTTAATAAATTACAAGAAAATACAACAGGGTCTGCATTTTTTTACTTGGATTTCAGCTGCGTAACAAGAACATGACCAATTTAAGTTTATAGGACAACTAAACTATCAATTTAAACAAAAATGTACCGTCAACTACAGATGTTGCATCCATCGATTCCGCCATGTTTCTCATTGACACGCCCCCAACTCAGAAACTCGGGGCTTAAAGAAAATTTTGAGTTTACCCACTCGTAATAACGACTTTGTGTTGGCGTTCATGTGTGTTCAACTCGTAAATACGATCTATCCGACATGATTTGAATGCACCATAACTGCAAACTGGCATTCAGATCTGCCTCCATTTTGTTGGCAACGCCCCAACCTCCAACGATCCAATCAATTCCCGAAGGATGAAATCAAGTCCCGCTCTCTCATTTCAGATGCCGTTTCACTCGGATATACGTCACAGCAAAGAAAAGACAATCACAACTTCCGTTTCATGCCGACTTTAAAAATCACACAAAATAAGACCCTCGGTGCGTTCCAAATGGGATATATCGTCCTCCGAAGGGCACTTCGGAGTGAAAATAATCATGGCCGCCATATTGAACGGTCATTCCAAACCGAAGTGCTCAAAACTGGTCACTTCAAAGGGCCCTTCGGAATGAAGGATTTCGAAGGGTACAACTGATGGACACTTCAGGCTCCCATGATCCTTTGCACAGAACTCTTTGCATGATGACGGCGCCTCCGTGTGGGCACGTGATGATGACGCAGAAGGGCACTTCAAGAAACAGTTGTTTGGTCCCCTACACCCTTCAACCCTTCGAAGCTCTCACTCCAGCAGATAAACCCTTTGAAGGGATTAAGGCATAGGGATGAGCCCTTCCGAATGGAACGCAGGGCTTAGTCAGGATAGCGCACCATATTTAATTTTTGGCAGGAATGAAAACGAGGCTGTGAGGGAAAGAAGTGCCTTTAGTGATTGCACTGTTGTTCTTTACGGATAAAAAAACTTTCAGTCGACAAACACTCCAAAACAACAAATAAATAAATAAATTTTTAAAGTTGTGAAAATGATGTGATTTAAGACCTTTATAGAGTGCTTGCCATTGTAAAGACAGTAAGTCTAACACTCACAGCCTCGCTTTCATCTGTGATCGATTCATTATGGCGTCCAACCTGATAAAGTGGTTTGAAATGACAGGATTTCACAGAGCAATGGCAATGGTAAACATGACCCTGTTCAAGAAATCTAACCTCATCTCATTAACTATGAAAAAATGAAATCACATCAACATGAATCACTGAGAAATACAAAATTACACATACTGTCTTCACATCGTTTTAGCATTTCAAACCGCTTTGATATTTTATCCAAATGCAACAGCATTTTCAAGTGATTTTTAAGACCTCTGAGTGATTAGTGCCAAATCTCAGGCTGTACAGATGAAGCGCGTCTAAAAGCCATCTTGCATGTTCAAATTCAGCCCGTTAAAGAGGTCAAAACTCAACAAGGAGAGGACGAGCCCCTCAGGAGGGCCGTAGATGTCAATCAAATCATCTTTACTAACAGTGCCCTAAAGAGATCTGTATTCTCTAGAGATCCATCTTATGAAGAGAGGTTAAAGGTTCAACCGTTTTCGGTGTGCATTCAAAATAAAAATCTAGACCACATTAACAACATCGGATCTGTTAAGATCATCTGTAGGAGGACGACACTTGAAATGTACCTTCTCATACACAAAATATCAGAAGGCATTTGAGTAATGCCACATACTGCATGTGAACGCTTACACGCCAGCGCCACACAGTGATCATCTGAGGAATGGCCACACTTCTAGTTTAAAGACTCACCATCTTATCAGTGAGAATTATTTTGGGACATATTTTTGCATTATTTAACTAAACCCTGTGTGACCTACAACAGCCCTAAAAAACCCTTTACTCTCCATTTAGAAACCTTTTAACTTAATAAAAAAATATCCCCAATATTAAGCAACAAAACTATTTTCAACATTGACCATATTTAGAAATGTTTCTTGAGAGCAAATCAGCATATTATACTGATTTCTGAAGATCATGTGACACTGAAGACTGGAGTAATGATGCTGAAAATACAGCTTTGATCACAGGAATAAATTATATTTCAAAACATATTCAAATTGAAAATAGTTATTTTAAATGGTAATATTTCATAATATAACAGTTACCAGCCTTTGTGAGCATAAGAGACTTCTTTCAAAGACATAAAAATGTTAATAAATGTGACTCTGGAGCACAAAACCAGTCTTAAGTCGCTGGGGTATCTCCGTGTGGGCACGTGATGATGACGCAGAAGGGCACTTCAAGAAACAGTTGTTTGGTCCCCTACACCCTTCAACCCTTCGAAGCTCTCACTCCAGCAGATAAACCCTTTGAAGGGATTAAGGCATAGGGATGAGCCCTTCCGAATGGAACGCAGGGCTTAGTCAGGATAGCGCACCATATTTAATTTTTGGCAGGAATGAAAACGAGGCTGTGAGGGAAAGAAGTGCCTTTAGTGATTGCACTGTTGTTCTTTACGGATAAAAAAACTTTCAGTCGACAAACACTCCAAAACAACAAATAAATAAATAAATTTTTAAAGTTGTGAAAATGATGTGATTTAAGACCTTTATAGAGTGCTTGCCATTGTAAAGACAGTAAGTCTAACACTCACAGCCTCGCTTTCATCTGTGATCGATTCATTATGGCGTCCAACCTGATAAAGTGGTTTGAAATGACAGGATTTCACAGAGCAATGGCAATGGTAAACATGACCCTGTTCAAGAAATCTAACCTCATCTCATTAACTATGAAAAAATGAAATCACATCAACATGAATCACTGAGAAATACAAAATTACACATACTGTCTTCACATCGTTTTAGCATTTCAAACCGCTTTGATATTTTATCCAAATGCAACAGCATTTTCAAGTGATTTTTAAGACCTCTGAGTGATTAGTGCCAAATCTCAGGCTGTACAGATGAAGCGCGTCTAAAAGCCATCTTGCATGTTCAAATTCAGCCCGTTAAAGAGGTCAAAACTCAACAAGGAGAGGACGAGCCCCTCAGGAGGGCCGTAGATGTCAATCAAATCATCTTTACTAACAGTGCCCTAAAGAGATCTGTATTCTCTAGAGATCCATCTTATGAAGAGAGGTTAAAGGTTCAACCGTTTTCGGTGTGCATTCAAAATAAAAATCTAGACCACATTAACAACATCGGATCTGTTAAGATCATCTGTAGGAGGACGACACTTGAAATGTACCTTCTCATACACAAAATATCAGAAGGCATTTGAGTAATGCCACATACTGCATGTGAACGCTTACACGCCAGCGCCACACAGTGATCATCTGAGGAATGGCCACACTTCTAGTTTAAAGACTCACCATCTTATCAGTGAGAATTATTTTGGGACATATTTTTGCATTATTTAACTAAACCCTGTGTGACCTACAACAGCCCTAAAAAACCCTTTACTCTCCATTTAGAAACCTTTTAACTTAATAAAAAAATATCCCCAATATTAAGCAACAAAACTATTTTCAACATTGACCATATTTAGAAATGTTTCTTGAGAGCAAATCAGCATATTATACTGATTTCTGAAGATCATGTGACACTGAAGACTGGAGTAATGATGCTGAAAATACAGCTTTGATCACAGGAATAAATTATATTTCAAAACATATTCAAATTGAAAACAGTTATTTTAAATGGTAATATTTCATAATATAACAGTTACCAGCCTTTGTGAGCATAAGAGACTTCTTTCAAAGACATAAAAATGTTAATAAATGTGACTCTGGAGCACAAAACCAGTCTCAAGTTGCTGGGGTATATTTGTAGCAATAACCAAAAATATAGATTTTTCATTTATGCCAAAAATCATTAGGATATTAAGTAAAGACCATGTTTCATGAAGATATTTTGTACTGTAAATATATTAACTTTATTTTTGATTAGTAATATGCATTGCTAAGAATTCATCTTAGAAATGTTTCTTGAGAGCAAATCAGCATATTATACTGATTTCTGAAGATCATGTGACACTGAAGACTGGAGTAATGATGCTGAAAATACAGCTTTGATCACAGGAATAAATTATATTTCAAAACATATTCAAATTGAAAATAGTTATTTTAAATGGTAATATTTCATAATATAACAGTTACCAGCCTTTGTGAGCATAAGAGACTTCTTTCAAAGACATAAAAATGTTAATAAATGTGACTCTGGAGCACAAAACCAGTCTTAAGTCGCTGGGGTATATTTGTAGCAATAACCAAAAATATAGATTTTTCATTTATGCCAAAAATCATTAGGATATTAAGAAAAGACCATGTTTCATGAAGATATTTTGTACTGTAAATATATTAACTTTATTTTTGATTAGTAATATGCATTGCTAAGAATTCATCTGGACAACTTTAAAGGTGATTTTCTCAATATTTAGATTTTTTTTGCACCCTCAGATTCCAGATATTCAAATAGTTGCATCTCGAACAATTATTGTCCGATCCTAACAAACCATACATCAATGGAAGGCTTATTTATTCAGATTTCAGATTATATATAAATCTCAATTAAAAAAAAAAAAAATTACGCTTATGACTGGTTTTGGGGTCCAGGGTCACAAATATCAAATTATCATTTTTCCATCTATAGTTATTATATGCATTTCATTGAAGAAAAGACAAGAACATCATAAGAATAAGGTTTTAAATTAATTTATAAAAAGAAAAAAAAAAAAGCATTGACCCACTGAAGCAGAACAAACATCAATCATATTTTTTTTTTTGCTTTTGTTTGAAACATATATAATCCGTCAGACTCTGACCAGAATCAAATCATCAAGCCTACACCGATACAGCCTAAAAAGAAAAGGGAACGAAACAGGGAAAAAGTCAACAAAAAGAACAGTCTAATCAAGTGCAGATCTGGTCTGATTCAATGCAGTTTCTTGTATCTTGGGGGTGGGGTATTTTTTATTTAATTTTTTTTCTAGATTACATGTTTAAATCGGCAGCTCAGGTATGTGTTTGTCTAGTCCGTTACATGCAAGCTGGATGAAAACAGTTCGACTACACATGGAAATGACACATCCACTCGAGCACCTGTATGAAAATATGTCAGTGTAACAAAGCCGGCTTTGCTCAGATTTAAAAATAAACAGAAAAGGAAAAACATAGGAAGGAAATACTCCATTGATACATTTTAATCCATTTTAGAAAAGAAACTACGCTTAGTTTCACAAAACAGAAAACTGACACAGTCCGGACGTCCCATGTCCACTTCTGCTTATATATATTGTTATTATTACTTTTTAAAACGTAACACGCCCAGATCCTATGCTCCACGTATGAACAACAAAATACTGCATATTATCCACTACGATGGCTGCAGGGGATTGTGGGGGATGCTGTCAGGCTAGCTGCCGAAAGTTCAGGATGTGTTTCGGAATATTTTGATCCCTTTGGCTCCACGTTTAGCCCTAGTATGCACTATTTAAAAATAACGACAACCTATTTGTGGTTCATGGTGTGTAATTGCATTCCAGGACATCCTCTTGGTTTTTCACCTTCCGTAGTGGACTGCCAAACTTTGGAATGTTGGATCGAAGCCTGTGTTCTGCTGTCAGCAGCAAAAAAAAAAATCCGGATTCCGCAAGCGGGAGTTCTGGAATTCTCAGTGTGCTGTGAGCAACACACGGATTCCGGAGGTTCTAGAATTTCCGAGGTTTCGAGGTCAAGATGGGATCAACATCTGCACATCCGGAGGGCAACGCACGTCGCAAAACCTCCGGGATAGCGTGCATTTTTCCCTCCAGTTTTGGCTAAAAATCACCATGACTCCCAAAGAACGGAATCCGAGCCGATCGATTGCCTCCAACATCTGTTGAAGTCTGTAATAAAATGGCCAGTTATGGACCAGATGGCAGTTGCTCTTGAGTTTCGAGGTGCGAGTTTTTGTTCAATCAGGCGTTCGAGTGATAAAACGGAAAGCAGGCAGAAGGGTTGCTGCGGAAAAAGACAGTAACGGATAGCATTTTATGCATTTGGTTCTTCTTTGACGTTTTTGCTTCGGTTCAAAGAGTTATTGTCCAAGCCTTGAGTTTTGGCACCGTGAGCTGCTGGATGGAAGAGAAACAGTGATGAGAACGAGAAAAAGGAAAAGAGAAAACTAGAGGAGGGAGGGAAAGAGGTGGTTGACAGTGGCTGACTAGTTGTGCTGGTTGGTGGAGCTTGTGTCCGCAGCGGTTCCGTTCGGGCCGGTGGTGACTGCGTGCTCTTCGTCCTCGGTTTTCAATCGTTTGCTCTCCGGCGGCCCGCTGCCGTTTTCTCCGTTCTGCCGCTTCGTGGGGAGCGAGGCGGATGCCGAGGCGTGAGCAGCCAACATGTGTAACGGACTCGACACTGGACCGGTGGTGACTGCGTGCTCTTCGTCCTCGGTTTTCAATCGTTTGCTCTCCGGCGGCCCGCTGCCGTTTTCTCCGTTCTGCCGCTTCGTGGGGAGCGAGGCGGACGCCGAGGCGTGAGCAGCCAACATGTGTAACGGACTCGACACTGGAGACAAACGGAAAGAGACCTTTAACATTACGATTCTCTCCCAAGTCTTGTGTCACAGTGCTATCTGAGAGTCCGAAGGCCTGACATTATTATTAGGGATGTTCATTTTAACCGGTAAACCGACCGTAAGAATTTTGACTGATTAATACAAAGTTAAACGGTTTAAAAAGTCATTTATTAATTTTTTTCAGTAATTTATCAAAATATTTAAAAAGGTTTGCTGCATGGTTAAAATACGCTACGTGTATAAAATTGTTAGTTTTTTAGAGAAAAAAAAAACAAGTCGCATTTTATTATTTCATTCAGAAATATGTCTAATGCCGACGCAAAATTTTTACAAACATTATAATAAACAAACATAGCTAGGCTATTTTAGTATCCCTCACTCCACAACAAATCCTTTCAATTAACAGTATTTAGAAAATAACAAGAATGACAATTTTAAGAAGCTATAGCAATATAAACGACAAGCCAAAACAAATTCATTTAGGCTAAAACGAAACCAACGCTGGGTCTCTCATTCAACACAAAATCAAATGTTTCCGTATTCGCGATGTATTTAAATGACAAATTATTATTTATTATGTAGCCTAGGCTTCACAATATCCACGTAAAACTAAATGTTTAGCATAACATCACGGCGGTATGATGATAACACTTAAAGGCGCAGATTTTACTACATATTTAAACTGAGCAGTGTGGGGTTTTGTTTGTTCATGTTTGAATGACTATTTTATTATTATAAATAAAATATATATATATAGAAATTATTTTATTTAATCTAATTTCACTACTATAATTTCCTCACTTTCAAGAGTTAAAGTTTTCAGCTTTCGTTTTGAGCTAGAGAAATAGGAAAAAAAAAAATAGTGCGGCGCAGATCGATCATCCGCGAGAGCAATTTGAAAGCACACGGAGCAGTCTGCTCTCTTTAGCTCTCGTGGTACTGTAATACCACCAGTATAGAGTAGCGTGGGAGCTGCGTGGAGTTCCGATCATATGCAGATGTCTGTTCATACT